ACAAACAAACAAACAAACATTCACAGTTCTTGAATACCTCCGTTTACAGTTAATGTTTAATATTTCATTGTTTTTTTAATTTAATCTTTCATTTGTTGTTTTAAGTTTTTCATTCTTAATTTAATAATTAGAATTTTAATCTAATTAAAGTTCTATGTTATATTTTAAATTTAGATTAATTATAGGTTCATTATCTCAAGTATGGAGCTGTGGCGCCCCCCGGTGGTCGCCCTGTGAACCAGCAGCTCTGCTCTGGTTCAGGTCTTTGTCGGGGTTCCTCAGGGAACCCGTCTGGATCCTCGTGGTTAAACTTTATTCACCGTTTCATGAACTTGGCGACCACGTTGAGGGCGTGGCGGGACCAGACGTCACTGATGGGGTTGCTGCCCTGGTAGGCGGGGCGGTTGATGGGGTTGGGGGGGCAGGGGCTCCGCTGGTTGTAGGGCAGAGCGGTGTACGACTCCAGAGCGTGACTGCAGGAAGTCAAACACACAGTGGAGTTATCCTACCAAAATAAAACCACCTCTTTAACAGATGACGCAGAGGGGAAAATATCTAGAAACACAGGAGGAAACAAACTAATCAATTAAAATCTTATTAAAAAATAAAAACTGTATTAAAACTAAAATAACTAATAAAATATAATTGTCCAATAAAAAAAACTTAAAAAACTAAACTAAAAAATAATTAAACTTAAATTACAAAGAATGAAAACAACAACGTGAAATTAAACTGCAATAAAAAATAATTTACAATTAAAATAAAATGAAATAAATAAAACAACATTTTGAATATCTTGAGAAACTGAGATCAGATTTTAATGTGTGGTTTTACTGTCATAAACAACAACAACAACAATAATAACAATAACCAGAGTGGAGCGTGTTGTTGTTGAACTGTGTCCTTCAGCTCTCATACAAACATTAACTAACAAAGTGTTAACAAGGCCAAAGGCTCCTTCCTGTAATCTAACACTCAGAGGTCAGAGGTCACAAACACCTGTATAACAAAGTGTTTTGAACGTTAGCGAGCAGAAAGCACAATGACGGTACGTTCACTGACCACAGCACGTCGAAGCCGCTGTTGGTGGCGACTCTCTCGGGCATGCTCAGTGTGTGCAGCGGGTCCACGATGCCCAGCGTCGGTTTGAGGGCTCTGCTGGCGATACCTGAACACAAACAACCAATCACAGCTCAGACTGACGCTGATGTCACTCTTCAATGACGACGGCTCGTTCGTCTCGTTTTTACCCGTTTTGGCTTTCAGAGGCTCAAAGTCGAAGATGGCGACTCCGGTGGTCTCGCTGCCGGTTCCCGCGGTCGTAGGAACTGAAGGAGTCCGACAGACGGACGTTAACTATAATCAATACTTAATAATATTTCAGATCAAACAATAAATGTTATTAAAAATAATCACAATCATTTCATTACATTTAAAAACTGTTTAACAATATCAAGTAAAAACCTCAACCTGGTTGCCACGGTAACCCTGGTACCTGCGATGAGCGGCTTCAGCGCTCCGGTGACCGGCTTCCCTTTGCCGATCGGCGCGTTGACGAAGTCCAGGAAGTCGGCGTCGGGGTGGCACGCGTACAGGTTGGCTGCTTTACAGGTGTCAATCACCGAGCCGCCGCCCACCGCCACGAACACATCGAATGAGTTGTTCTTAGAGAACGCAATGGCGTCTTTAAAACTGCAACACACACACACAGTAAACCAACCACAAAACAGTTACAACCACGAAACACAACACAACCAGTTCAAACACAAACAGTTAAAAAAAACACACACAACAGTAACACCACAGTTAACGGACACACACAACAGTTAAAACAACACACAACAGTTAACACACAACAACAGTAACACACAACACCGCTTAACACAACACAAACACACAGTAACACACACAGTACCACAACACACAGTAAACACACACCCAGTTACCACACAGTAACACACAGACACACACATTAAACGTGACTTCCCGGTTGTTTGAACCGGCTCCTGTCAGCCAATCAGAGAGCAGTATCTACCTGCTGTCATTAGGCTCCACCCTCACGTCGTCGTACACTTTGTAGTTCACTCCGTTCTGGCTCAGAGACTCCAGGACGGCCTTCACCGGCGGGAGGACGGACAGGTTCTTGTCCGTCATCAGACAGACGTTCCGAGCTCCGAGGTTCTGGAGGTCCTGACCCGGAGAACCACAGCGATTAATCAATACTGATCAATATAATTGATCTACTGAACCTCCAGATAATGAGTGTGTGCCCTCTGTGAGCTAACAGCTAGCCCACAGGGACATATAGCGGACGCAGTGTTTGGTTACCATGCCGATCTCTCTGCTGACTCCTTCGCCATATCTGATGTTTGAACTGGCCATCTGAGAGACACACACACACACACAGATATAATCTATAATCTATAGTCGGGTTGTGTCACAGGGTTTCAGAGCTCTACAGACAGCAGAAGTTAGAATAATAATAATAATAGTCTTTAATAACTAACAGTTACCTCGAAGGCGTAGTCAGTCTTCCGGACGGTGCAGGTTGCGGCTCCGGCACCTGCAGGAAAAACACCGGATAATGTGTGTGTGTGTGTGTGTGTGTGTTACTGATTATTGATCCAGATCAATCACAGTTTCTGATTGGTGTAAGTGGTGATTAATATGTTTGCTGAGACCGAACTGCCTCCATCACGTGGACTAAAGGTTATCAGGCGGTAAATCACCAACACTGACTGATCAGCTGAGGTTAAATATTGATCAGCTATCAGGAGTGTGTGTTTACTGGGAGTGTGTACCTTGATGGAAGGTGTTGGAGTGAGCAGGACATCTGCACCTGTTCACACAGAAACATCCAGTCAGAAGTCTGCACGTTTACCGACAGTTTATTGTTAGAATCTGCAGTTTGTACGACGACTCCTGATCATCTCGGACTCAGAGGAACATTAATAATCACATTAAATATTGATCCTCAAGCTGAAAATATGGTTTTAATCAAATAAATGTCAGCAAGCAGCTGCCACTGCTGAGAGTCTGCTGTCTGTAAAAACGACGGTTTCTAAAGCACAGTTCTGAATGGACCATCACCGTTCAATCTAAGATGTGTCAGTCTAAAGCAGACCTATCACGCTTTAACATTCATTCTTAAATAAAATAAAGATTTCAGGAATCTTAAACGGGGTCTTAGAGACTCTTCGGGGTCTCAGTGTTAATGAAGTTCCGGTTCAGGAGGTCCGAGAGCAGCGGTTTAAGATCTAGACCTGATCCTGCACCAACAACATTTTTAATTAGCACGCACTTAATAATCGATAGTGCAGCTGGAAAGGTTGATCAATCAGAACCAGCTGTGCATTATTTAAATCCACTCTACGAGTTTAAATGATCGTAATGTGACAGAGGACCTGAACCAGTCTCCATGAGGTCTGACTGGTCCAGGTGTGGATCTAGACCTGCTCACATGTGGTCCCTTTTATCGTTAAAGTCCAATTAAGTTGAACAGAATATTGAGCAGAACTCTTTCATTCTCTCCTTTAAAGCCAGAGTTGTTCCTCACTGGAGACTTTGTAAAGCTCGTGCTCAAGCAGCAATCAATTATTAATTAATTATCCCCAGTGTGTGTCATTAATGCCGAACCTTCACACTCTTCCTCCTGCTTTATAAAAGGTGTTTCATTGATCTATGCACTGCGCAGAACCGGAATTACAACGCGAACAATTGTAAAAGTAGCTGTTTTTTGAATGGAGTCCGGCGCTACCGCAGAGAAAAACAACGAGGAGGGGGCGGAGTCTGTGTACGTCGACTCACCTTCAGCTGTCAATCACACCTTTAATGCACGTGAACAGAACTTACGCCGCGCGCTCGAGCTGCCTGAGCAGGTGAACGACCCGGTCCCGCCCGGCCATGTCTGTGTCTGGTCCTGGTTCTGGTCCTGGTTCTGGTCCTGGTCCTGGTCCGCACCGAGGAGCTGGATTATAACCCCCACTGACGTCAGGTTGACAACGGCAGGACGCACTGCTTCCGCCTCAAAGTTTCAAAATAAAGGCCAGTTATTATTGTTGTTGTTGTTGTTGTTGTTGTTGTTTTTCTTCAGGACGAATGAAGGATTTCTGGCTCAGATGTTCAGATGTTTGACCTTAAGAGCAGAACTTGAGGAACCTGCAGTGGCAGTTGTGTAAATACTGAAAGGTCAGAGGTCACAGCAGTGAAACAGGAAACACGGTCCTGACACATCGACCTTTAAACAAAGCGCTCACTGTCGAGACGCCTCGCGGCTTCGCGGCTTCGCGGCTTCGCTTTCATTCATTTCTGTAGAAACTTCTTGTCCTGAGTTTAAATCAGCAGTTTAAATCAATATGTATCTATTTCCTTTGGCTGATTTCACAAATCAATAATCAATAATAAACTGACAGTTTGTCTTTAAGTGTTGTTTCGTCATTATTGATCTTCCATAAACTGAACATCTCTATTATTGATTCTTGATTGATTAAAAACACTTAACACAAAGTGAACAGAAACAGAATAAAACCGTCTCTGTTAGTGTTTCCAACAATGCTAAATTGCCCTCTTGGGTGGAAAAAACACTCAACTGCCCTCTTCTAAGTTCTATTATTAGGTAGAGATGCCTATTGCATGTTTAAGGAGGAGTTACCTCACTACGTCTTGTGGGAATAGCTTTTCAAAGCTAGCAATAAAGTTAAAAGTTGGTTTAGCATTGCATATCAGGGTTCCGCCAGGTTTAAGTGACTCCCCGACTTGGTTTATACCTCAAACACTTTAAGACTTATACACTTGTTTAAAAGACGTGATACTTGATTATCCCTCCACCTACAGCAAATGGGGAGCAGCACTGAATATATACTATGACACATTGCTGTTGCAATGACTTTTATGTTGGGCCCATTTGTTGATTCTATATTGAGCCAGGAACTATAATTCTCACAGAACCAGTTTGGATTATCTGGTGCTTAATGATGGTGGTTAAAAGTAGCACAGAAACAGAAATGGCCATCTTCTTAATTCAATTTTGGAAGTCACCCCAGACCCCCCTAAGCGATTTATTTCCTTCATACATCCATGTCGCTGTGTGTTCTTCAAAGTCCTATGTTGAAATCCACACAGTTCTCGTGGATGCTGATCCTAACAGCAGACTAACCTGAGTAGTCTGTCTAGTCTGTTTTAAGGCTATATAATGTGCCATTTGTATAACATACATACAATCTGCTGCAATAAAAACCAATAGTATGCATTCAGAAATGAGCAGACTTCTCACTTGATTTATGAGCTCACTAAACAGTTTCCCAATGAGTTTATGGTCTCAATCATTTCAAGTCTTCTTTCATACAGCAAGATGTTAATTTTGTAAATGATGCTCCAATTTAGAGTAAAATAGACATAAAGCAGGGTATGCTTAAGGGTGTGGCTACCTTGAGCTAGACAGACTCACTGATTCTGATCAAATATGAATCAAGATTATGTTACTGTGGTGCCTATTTCTCACCTAAAATTGCTTCAGCAACATTTTAGTATACTGTTTAGCTGTAATATGAGATTGTGTGTAACCACGTGAGCCGCCACTGTTTCCTGCATCAGATAAGTAGAAACTGTGCAGCCAATGAGAGCAGCTCAACTCGCAGTCACCTCCGCTGGCTCCAACAGACTGTCATGGCAACGACCATAATGCCAAAGTCGAGGCTTCGTAACGGTACAGCTAGCCTGGCTTGGTCCAAGGGTAACCAAATCTGCCTACCAGAACCTCTTCAGCTCACTTATTAACATGTTATATCTTGTTTGTTTAATCAGTATAAAAAGTTAACTTTAAAAATGTAACAATGTTACAGGTGCTAAGCTAAGATGGCTGCCGGCTCCATAACATACAAATTTGAGATTGGTATTGATCCTCTAATCTAACTCCTGGCAAGAAAGCATATTTCCCACAGTGTCAGAATATTTTTTTGAAGCCCCAAATCAGAGTTTGTGTGTTAGAAATCTGCCATGGAATGTTTTATTGATTAATAAATTATATTTGGGATTGAATAACAATTGTAAAGGCAGGGAAAAAACTTTCTATAATGGCCACTGGGCTAAATTCTGCATAATTTTAAGACGTTACAATCAGTACGGTCACATCACACTCAATGTTCTGTTCTTAGGCACGTTTTTTAACAGAAATACTTCTGTCACGCTTCACTGTTAACATCAGTGAAGTGTGATGAGTGAAGAGTTTTACTGTGAAACAACTGGAGAAGTGTTGTGTTTGTGATACCAGAAAACAGCAGCAACAATACTTCTTAGTCGGCTGAAGTAAATAAAACTATTGCAACACTATTTGAGAACTTATGTGTGTATTAAAAATCTTTTCACAGCCTCAAAATACGACACACAGATAATTAGAATTTGATTTTAATCTGAATCTCAGCAAGTTTGACAATAAAATATAATTTAAGGAACCAGTGTACAGAGAAGTGAAGTGACAACACTCAACTCCAGTGTCAGTACAGCATCCTCTGTTTCTATGTGTGTATGTGTGTAGCACCTCAGGAGGTGAAGGGTGCACTGAGGCTAAATGGTGATTGTGCATATATTAACTCTACCTAATTATGCCTTTTAGTGCTCGTCTACCATTACCTAGAAAATTCAACACTATTGCGCACACACACACACACATACTTCCTCCCATTTCCCAGCTACTGAAAGCAAGAACATTTAATTTATGCTACAATCTGAATGGAGCTGAGAACAATGAAGCTGTGGTTAAGCTTTTAAGCCTTATCTTCATTCGTCGTCTCTTTTCTGAAAACATGATAAATAATTTATTCCTAGCACGTAGCATCTCTCTTTCTCTCTCTCTCTCTTTGTCTTTTTTTTTTGCTGTTTCATCTATCTGTCTTCATCCCATTCCCACCCTGCTCTCTGTTAATTCCTGACCTGAGTCAGCTCTGTCACAGGCTGCCTTTTGCTATCAAGTTATCATTTTCATAAGGAAACTACAGCACTATTGTTCACTGTAACAGTCAATTTATTT